GGTTATATTTATAGGCGTGTGGAGGCTTTCTAGAAAATTCAGATTACGTAATTTAAGCGTTTACGTACCTACATATATTGTTGATTCTTACTCTCGAGAATCTTCTACTACTTTGAAGAATAGGAGGGAGTTTTACAATATATATTTAACAACATAAGCTATGTATGTTTTTAAATATAAATTTAATCTGAACAAATGTTGATATTAAAATAAATATATAATAACGAATTCGTTACATTTACCTATTATCTTAAAAACGCAAACCATTTTTTTCATAATACAACATAAAATTTCCTCCCAGAAAGACAAAAAAGGTATTCTTAAAATAGATATCTGCTACACTTTATCTATAACGTGCGTAGAAGCAGGTCCTGCAGACCAGGCAGCAGCCAGACCAGCATTTTGTCACAGTAACAGTAAGGCTTTTTAAACTGTAACTTGCATTTCAAAAATTGTTTCTAGGTAAATAGATAGACTTATAGTAGTATATATGAATCAGTATAACAATGTATAACAAAATATATGTGTAATCTGCAAGTGTACATATTTGTGTTTGTTTATAGCTATGGTGGTATAAGTGAAAGTGGGCACCTATTTTTATGAATCAGAAACTAATAACACGATTACATATATCATAAAACAGTAATATTAGGCTAATTGTAATTTTAAACATTAAATACTTGATTTTCAAACATGTAATCAAATTTAACAATCATTACATAAAATAGCGATATAATTTTTATTTTTCTGAAATACTTAAAAAATATGCTTAAGTTCGAGGCATGTAAGACTACTTATTTACTTGTGAATGTGTGTATTCCACCTTTTTATCATTGTTTCAAACTTTTTTTGCAGTTCATACAATTTTGTCCAATTAGAAGTCGTTTTTTTACTTTCTAAAAGTTTAAAAACAAGAAAACTACTCCTCGACCCTGCTTTGATGTTAGCCTCAGACCCCTCCCACCCTCCTCCTCCCCAGATAATCGTATGATTCGTGCTGATAACAGTTGAGCTTTCACGGAGCTATTTTGTTTAGACAAGAATTTTCCCAGTGGTCCCTCCTATAAGTTTTACTTGTATTCTCTTAAACACAACAACAACAAAAAAGAACAAAAAATTATTGGTATTTCTATTTTTGATGTGAAAATCACCCCATGCATTACATGAGTTAAACGACCTGTTCAAAGAATCACTTGATTTTCGAAAAATTTAAGAATTCCTGACCCCTCCTTATACGTTGATCTATATACTATATCCCTTTTATAACATTTATAGTTAGATCGTAATATTTTTAAAACTAAGAGAGTTTTTTCTTCTTCTTGTTGTTGTTATTGGGCTATCTATGCTGTACTCACAACGATATTGAAACCCGATTTTTAGCGTACGGAATTTTGGAGTCTATGTTGTTGTTGTTGTTCTTTCCTTTTTGTATGTTTTCTTTTCAATTTAAACCATTTTTATTGTTGTTGTATTTTATTAGCTAGAGAGATTTTTGACGAAAAAGTGTGGTTAACATATTATCACATCTTATTCTTTGCTTTTACGCACAAGTTATCGTAATTTGTGAAACTGTTTGTTTGTTTGTAATTTAGCACAAAGCTACACAATGGGCTAGCTGTGCTCTTCTCACCACGGGTATCGAAACCCAGATTCTAGTGTTGTAAGTTCGCGGACATACCGCTGTGCCACTGGGGGGGGGGGGCTTGTGAAACTGTGTAAGGTGTAGAACTTTTAAATTCAAAAAATATAATGCTTTCGTTATCATTAATAGACTGGACTTTGCACCATTTTTTTATTTTACCGAATAATCCAAAAAACCTGCTCAACAATAAAAACCCTTACAAAGTACTTTGTTTTTTATTACAACTTAACATTCACGATATTACTCTATGTTTAGTTTCAGTTGTTTAATTAAATTCTGGTCTTATAATTAAACTGTGTGTGTGTTAGTTGCATCAGTATCTGTAGTAATCTGAAACATATATATAACAGAGATAAACGTTTTCATTGACCTATTTGGTCAAATGAAACTATACTACAATTACAACCTAAAATACTTATTCGTTGATAAAACTTAGATATCCCAGTTTCTATCACTCTTACAGTTACAGGTTGTCTGATACTTCATGTTATTTACTCACTGAGTAAAATGTTACCAATTTTAAAGGCCTATCAGTCACTAAGATTACTTAATATTCAAATACAACCGGAGACATGGATCATATTAATGCGAGAATTCTGTTTTTCCAATCAATAGCTGAAAAAAACTAAGGTTATGGTTATCATACTTAGCCGATATAATTATTCTTGACGTTCTTAAAACGCGAGTACTTTTGAAATCAATAAAACATTAGAAGCACTTCTTTGAGTTGGACCCAGGGTGTAAGTAATCTCCAAGACTTCATTTTTAACATCAAGCAATTTAATCCCAAGCTATTATACTCAAATATTCTTCAATGCGTAAGACAAATGATGCAGAATCCATGAGTGAAATGTTAATAATTTACTTTAATACTTGAAAAATACAGATCACTTTCACATCTTAAGATTCAATGCTTTTGCTAAACTTACCGTTTCTGTACACAAACAAACACACAGTGTAAAAATTAAGTAAATAAGAAGTTCAAGTGATATTAATTAATTGATCTAAGCGAATATAAAATTTTAATATTTACTACAAGCTAATTAGTTTTATCTATTATTTAATTCGGAAATTATCCAAAGCTATTGATTGATTGATTTTTTTACAACGAAGTGGTTAAAAACCATGCTATATATTAATCTTAAGTTTTACAGACAAAGCTTTTGGAGAACAAGATGTGACAAACTATAATATCAAAGAAAATCGAGTAGAAATAACAGATTAATTAATAACTAGCATTTTTGATTACTTTCCTTATTTGACGCTAATCATCTGTATCAAAATGTGAAATGGTATTGCTGGGGCACTAATAGTTTGAATGTAGGCATGTTTACTTTCCTACTTTATTTATATTTTAATCAAAAAATTAATATGGTTAACTGATAATGATAGACTGTGAAAAGCGAAATTGAATCCACCACAGATTATAATCCAGATGTCTTTACTGATGATTTAAAAACTATATAATCTGGTGAAAGACTAGTCTTGAACTGTGAAATAAAATGAAAATGTACAGATTGTGTAATGTATGTATGATGTTATGTAATAGCTTGTTATACTCTAACGTAGTAAAATTGTATCAAGAAGTAATAGTAAATTATCAACTAAAAGTTTAACACTGTTAATGCATTTATAAGCTGTTCACGTCAGAAAGAAGGTTCATATTAATATTATCAGTAACCTTTGTTTATTAGATACTTTTTCATTCTGCCCAGATTGTGTTTAAATAAATCATAGTAATAATACCCGTCATTAGATTTAATAGACTGGTAGTGGTAAGAGCTAAAAAGATATTTTATTTTTAGTTTTTACCATTGTTGCCTTTATATCGTTATGCTATTAGATTATTAGTATTATAAATGTTAATTTAAACAATAATCTTAACAAGCAAAATCTAAAAAATATGTATCTATATTTAGCGTAATATTATATTTATCTTACAAAACACTTACCGTGTGTGGATCGTTATCACCGAGTGTTGTCTTTCCACTCCTCAGTAGCAATTTTCTTCATAAATAATATTATACTACACTTTACAGAGAACTTCTAATGTCATACGAGTTCAACTGTAGTGGCTTCGACGGCACGAGCAGACAGGTCTAAATACGTGACGTAACAAATAGCTATTTTTTTATTGGAGAACTTATCACGTTTAAGTAAGATACAAAATAGGAAACAGAAGCTCTAGGAATTTAATTTATGCGTCTTTAAAGGAGAAAAAGTTGTCTGAAAAATAATTAAACAATAAAAACAACTTCGTTTTATTACTATGTCTATGCCAATTTTCACACTAATCGTTCATTTACACACACACACCGCCAGGCGTCCACAAGTAGCACGTGATCCAAGCGTGATATATTAAAGTGAGCAGTGTGTAACCCGGTTTGGTGGTTGACAGTGGAATTTTAACTACAAATTGCTTGCCTTTGATTAGGCAACATTTGTTGTTGTTGTTACATAATTTCGAAGTATGTTAGTGATTCATAAGCAGTTTTCTTAATTCAAAAGTACTTGATTCATAGAATGATATATGTTATTAATTTAAAACGTGGTTCAACGTTTACCGAGAAATACCTCCAGTCACCATGTGGCGTCATATAACATAACATAACTGGTCTCATATATTGTGAAAGACAGCTGCTATAAGTTTACGCTAATTCACTCCTGTAGCCGCCAATGACTAACACTGTTTTTTATACTTACGGAAACAAAAGTAAATAAAAACAGAACAAAATACCCGTTATTTAAAACTGTCGAATTTCATACACGATATACCTGAACAAGATAATAACAAAACGAACGTGCAGACTGCAGAGGCTGTCCCAAGCACGTGCGAACGTTGGAGCCGCTCTGTGCTTGTAGAGGTCCCGTGATTGATCAAGAATGTTTATTTATTGATTTATACTCTTAGACTTTTGATTACAATTGTTACTGTATAAAGAATTAAGTTTGATAGTACACTAGCCAGGTTTAAGACAGTAACAACATTTGTCTATTGACAGAGAACTAAAGTATGATCAATTATCACATATGACGTGTTCTCCGTTACAGTGTACTTTTAGTTATATAGTATTTTCAGATGAAAACCTCCCGACAAGTATTAGGACTCGCATTTTGAATGTTCTTCTCAGCAGTAGCGTGAAGAGGAGATTGAAAAAGTAGGGCTTATTGACAAAAGGGTACTTTTTAAATATCGTAAAGTAAGGGTGTTTTTGTGGGGGGGGGGGGTGTTAGAGGAGGCCATGGGGACAGTAGGTTGCCTCTGTTATACATAGGATAAAAACCACAGAAGCAAACAAAGCATTTTTTATTCCTATTCAATTGGTCTTACAAACATTTTTATGATCTAAGACTACACAGTGGATTATTGCGTAGTATCATGTAATAGCATATAAAAATGTTTACTTCTTAATATAAAAACCTGTGTGCCATTCATTTTAACGCTGAAAGGTTTGGTATTAGGTGTATATTTTAGTAATTGTTGACAATTTTATGACAGAAAAAGGGTGCTTTAGGAGCAGAAAGGCAAGTGCTTGAGCACACCCAGTCACCTCCCTGTACAAGTCACTGCTTCTTAGTGTATGATTAAACAGGCTAGACAAGTTTTAAACAAACAAGCAAAATCTTTATTCAAACAACAAAAAGAAAACTTAGTGTGCGCACCCAAAAGACGACAGCGGACTGTCCTCACTCCTTCCTAGCTAGTGTTTAGTGTTGAACTTTTCCTACTCTCGACTGAAGACTGCTATACTCACTCCTTCCTAGCTAGTGTTTAGTGTTGAACTTTTCCTACTCTCGACTGAAGACTGCTATACCAAAGCCGAGTGTCTCGTAGTGAAAAATGGGTCTTTACTGTAGATGAACGAGGAGAAAACCGAATAAATATCATGTGTCTGGATTCCAAACATTAACCTGCTTTCTTTGTCTAGTAGACAGCGTCATCTCTGACCTTGTTCCCTTACAGAATTTGTTATCTATCAGTTTCAAACAATTTCATAACAGGTTAGTAAAGAATATTCCAGTTTGAGCTCGTTTAACCTAGGCTCAACCCACAGAACTGAAATATACCCGCGGGCAGAAAACGTTATCTATCAAAAGAGCAAAAGGCTGAAGCGACTAAAATGAGACAATGTCAGCAACACTGAACCACGTAATGCCGCCATGATAATGCGAAAACTAATTGAGGCAGTCTGGGTATGGACTCAGTCTGTTTTGCCCTTTCTCTATATGTTTTTACTGTACCAGAATAGTGCAGTCACCCAAATTAAGTTGTAAGTTTCTCCTCTTGTCGGCAATCATTAAGTTTGTCAAGTCCCCTCTTGGCTCGGCCATCCACAATTGCGGGGAAATACTTACGCTGTCTAAACTTTTTCACAAAGCACCATTACGCGAGAAACAGCGCTAATAGAACTTCAACTGTTCTAACTCGGGTTTTGTGCTTAAGGCGCTCGACTCGCAATCTGAGAGTCGCGGATTCGAATCTCCGTCACCAAACATTTTCAGCCGTGGGGGCGCCATAATGTGACAGTCAATTCTACTGTTCGTTGGTAAAAGAGTAGCCCAAGAATTGGCGGTAGGTGGTGTTGACTATCTGCCTTCCCCCTAGTCCAGTGTTTCTCAACTTTTTTTTGCTCATGGCTCCCTTTTGAGTTTGATTTATATCTGTGACCCCACCCTTCGTAGACGCTGTTACTTAGGAAAAAAGTTACTTTATTTCCACACTGTTGATTTATAATATATTTATAATATTATTTTTACAGTATTGTATTGTTTTTAAATATTTTGTTTATAACATACTGTTTACTTATACAAGTAGAAAATATTCTGTAAATCATTGACATTTTATTCAGTGTGATCCTTGGGCCTGATGAACACTTAAAAGTTGTTGAATGTCTGGTTGCAGTGTGATCAAAGATAAGCGAAGATCACCTCTCTTCACAACATCAAGGCGATTATGTATTTTTGATAGCAAATAAATCAACCGACTAAAACCAGACTCAACCAGATAAGATGTGGGAAAAAGCGATAAAATACAACTTTGCCTTCTCCCAGAGCTGTGGAAACTTATTAGCTATTTCACTATTTATCCAGAAATAATATTTGTCACGTTTGAATCTAGCTTGGGCTGTTATATCACTCTGCTGCTCTTCTTGAGAATATGTCGAAAACATTCACAGATACCAGACAAACATTTTGATTGTTACTCCAGTACTAGTCGCGTCTGGTAACTTGACTTTTGAGCTGTGGGGGATACGGGGAGAAGGGAACCCTTGATTCAATTTGAAATATTTTATTCGGGCAGTGAAGTTTCGGTGGCCCACTCAGAATTTACTGTGCCCCCTTAATTTTCCGTCATTCACGTGTGGCCCCTTTGAAACATGGCGTGGCCTCCTGGGGAGCCATATGGCCCACATTGAGAACCACTGCCCTAGTCTATCACTGCTAAATTAGGAACGGCTAGAGCGGATAGACCTTTTCTAACTCAAGAGGTATGGATTGAACCTGACCCTCCCAGGTCGCGCACAACAACCAAAAACACCGACACAGACCAGACTAACTCAAGAAAAATCACTTTTAAACCATGTAATCAGTGTTTGTTTATGATTTATTACAGTTTTCACCAGGCTTTTATGTGTTATGTAATTTAAAGATATATTGAATTATAGTAATACATATTATGTACGGAATTCCGTTGAAGAAATTGATCTCTTATTTTGTTTTATTTTTAGTTTTGATATACTGAACTCAAATATTGTTTTTATAACTTAATTTTCTTATTGAAGAAGAGAGACCAATGTTCTTTTGAGACATTTAATATGTTATCTACATACAAAAACAAAAAACATCAACATTATGATTATAAATCGTTGTTAGCGACACCCCAATTTATTAGCAAAATATATTAGATTAATCCTCCACACAAGCTTAATTGGTAAAATACTCACTGCTGTGGTAGAGGTCTCGGGTTCGTTACCAAGCCAAAGGAAATACAAAAATAGAATACCACAGGACAAAACTATAACCCAATTAGTGGTCGTCTCAGCAATCAGAGACAAGGCCCGAGGACTGTGAGGGAACTGTGGTTTAAATTCTAGTTCAACTGATAAGCCACTCACTTGTAGTGCATGTTCAGTCCAATTCTCTAGAAACGCAGAATCTGAAACATTACATCCCAATAAATGAAAAAAACATTTATATATTAGCTTTTGAAAACGGGTTTTAACGAAAACAAACAAACAAAAAATCGTTCCCTCGTTAAAGTAAACGTTATTAACCAAATTCTATCGTGTCAAATCGGTTGTAAAATACAGTTCTACTTTATTGTCAAATCACGTGATTTTATTTTGCGAGTATTTAAGTATAAGCATGAAACATTCCTAATTATCCTAATAACGTTACAAATCTATTGCTAGCAGCATTTGAATTAGTTAATTTTAATTAGTTATTGAATAGCTCTTAATAAATGTGGAGGATATCTCACAATAAATTAGTAGAATATCTTACAATAAATGTGTAGAATATCTCACAATAAATTAGTAGAATATTGTTACTACAGTGGGGTCACGTAACGAGTATTCTAGAAGATTCGCTAGTGTGTTGCGACAGCGTCGCGTCAAATGACGTTGGTAGCACGTGTTGAGAGTATTAG